TCTCGGATGAAGGTGAAACGTCTTCAAGTAACTTAAAGAAGTCCAGACGCTTTTCTTTGCAAGATTATTAATGTTATTACCTCCATGTGTGTCTGTGCGTGTCTGTGCTTGTCTGTGTAAACCATTGTTTTGAATTAATTCTGATTTTAGATTGGGGTCATGGTAACTACCCATTAAATGTTAGCTTACATCCATTACTTCAATATCAGCCTCATGATTTATTGGTTGAAAATGGACAAAAAGCCTTTTAAATTCAAAGTTCTGACTCTTAAAATTGTGCTGTGCATTGTCAACATATGGAAAATATCGTATAAAGATCATGTGATCTCTCCTCAGATCTAGAGCTGCGTCTTGGAAATGCATAATTTTGGTTAATTTATTACTGTCATAACAAAAACATGCATGAACCTACAAAGTTCTTCAGGCTAACGTGCTGACGATCAGAGCTGGGCTTATTTGAGTGCTCTGAAGCAGTAAAAGTGAAGCATCTCACAGTCATCATCATGCTGGTGTTGCTCTGCTGTTCTCTGTCACAACCAGCAGCTCTGCAGTGGAACAATGAAATAAACAGTACAGTTTTGAGTTGCTATTCTGAGAGGCTAAAGCTAGCTGCCTGGGCTTTGAATACTGGGAGCTAGGAGCAGACATGCTAAAGCACTGCTAGCACATGTGGATTTAATCCTGTTCAAAGTGATTTATTTGGGTTTGTCTTCTTTCTCCATGCATTCCAGCTTCAGATGACAGATTTGTGGGTTAATCTTACATTTTACATGAATCTGTAGCATATATATGCTGGGGCAACATACTGAACTCCTGCTCTCTGATGCATTCATTCATTCATTGTTAGTGCTTAGGCATGGAAAACAGTGCTTGTGTGATTGTGTGTGATTTGGTGAAGCAGAGTAGAAACAGTCCACTTACAGCGACACACAGCAGTATGGGATATACGTTATAAAGACCAAACTAAACAGTGTCACATGTTTATTAGCTGGAGATGATTTCACGTCTTCCCTTCACAAAAGCCGTCGGTCACTAAGCGCTCGAGGAGCATCGGTCCTTTCAGGCAGCACCACGTGAAGAAGGCTTTCAGTCAGCAGACACTGCAGCACGGTTGTTGCTTTTTCCGGATCTTTCTGACGCCTGGTCCCACCGCTCTCTGTCCGTCTCCCTGCACGTGTGCAGCAGCTCCATTGCTTGCGCTTGGCTTTGGAACGTGGCTCTTCTTCTCCTTCATGTTGCTGTCATCATAGTCTTCATCGTCCTCAACAATGACCAGTTCAGCCTTGAGGGAACCTTCAAACTCCTGCCGGCTCTCGTCCAACGCTGACTGAAAACCCATGAATATGGCTGTGATCGGCTCAGCAGGGTCGTCTCCAGTAAGGGGTGCTCTGCTCCCAGTTTGTCTGTTTGACTGGTGCAATGATGGGTAATGTTCTTCCTCACTGATATAATCAACAGCAGGAATATAACAGGGAGTGTAGCTGAACCGTGTGTGTGTTAGCATTTCCTGGTCATGTGTCCTGAGAGCCACGCAGCGCCTGGATGGTTCAGTAATCCTGCTGCTGCTTCTGGTCATGCTGCCGGGCTGGTGGCGTGCAGACCCGCCTTCCTGAAGACGGTGACAATTTCTCACTGGATATGAACTACGGTGACAATCTCGCTGGTTGCCATAGTGATCCAGCGTCACACAACTTCCCGTCCGATTGGTTTGCTGGCTCCTGCCTTCATTTTTGATAAGACGGCTGTCCTGGTCACAGCAGTGATGCTCACTGCGTGGGTTTCTGTGTTCGTTGGAGTCTTTGTCTGCTTTGTGTCTTTGCAGGACATCATAGTGTCCCGGCTGCTTCCCGAGGTCATGCTCCACCCTGTTCCAGTTCTGGTGCTTTGCTTGACAATGCATTGTAGCATTTCTCAGTAAATGTCCCACCTCATTGGCCGATAGCTCAGAAACACCATTCTGGCCACGTGATGCCTAGAAGTACAAAAAACCAGGACTCAGAAACTGAATTCAAACACAACAGAAGCTAACGTGACGTATTCTGTTTGTGTCACTTCATGAGCTACTTGAACAGGAACAGCTAAAATGCTTGTACAGAAATCTATATTAGCTTGAGATGTTCATACCAGTGTTTCCCACACACAGGCTTTATTTGTGTGGGTGCCTGTTTTGCAGCTAAGTGAGGCCACAGTTCAGGACTGTGGATTTGGAGTTGCTACTATGTGATACAGAAGGATTATTGCTCCTTTATTTATTGCAATAGTTTTTGAGATTTATTAAAATAAAGATTTAAACAAAAACCAACTAAGAACCATGCAGATGGTTCCACCAGTAACAGACAGTCAGCTGCATTCTTCATTACTGTAGTTTTCTCTCTCTGGAAATAGAGAAACGATACAGTGCATGCCTTCATTTATATTCATCATATACAACAAACCTTTGTTTGCCTTTGGCACACACTAAAACATTAATCCAGTGTAACATTAGCCCCACCCAGTCCACTGCTCTGTGCCAGTCGCAGCTACTGGGACTTTGCCTACGTCCACACGTACCCGGGTATTTTTGAAAACGCAGATTTTTCTATGCATTTGCACCTTTCGTCCACACGTAAACG